CKCCTTTTSTCCAGGCTGAGCCCCTTTCCCAGCTCCCTCAGCCTCTCCTGGTGCTCCAKYCCCTTCCCCAGCTCYGTTCTCTTCCCTGGACWCRCTCCAGCCCCTCAATRTTTTAGGCTGAAGAYGATAAARTCCAGAAGGCTCAATCCCATGTTATGCCTCTAAGTTTGTTAACTTTTTAACCCAAGCTTGGATCAAAATCTTGAAACAGATAATTTTTGAGCCTCCCTGATGACTGGGAATGCCAAAGCACTAGGAGGGAAGTTGTTCTTTTATGATATTTCCAGCATTTGAATTGTCAGGAGCTCACCTGTCTGCGAGCTCTGGGTTTGGAGATGTGGCAGCAGTTGAGGTGTTTGAGCCGCAGAGCCAGGAATTCCCTCCATGTCTCTAACTCTTCTGTGATCCTGGGCAAAATGACTTGTCCTTCCCTGGATTCAGTTTCATGTAAAAAATCAAGAGATTAACAATTTGTGCAAAAGGAAGGGATGTTTTTGGCCTGATCAGATGTTAGCACTGACACTTCAGAATTAATGTGTAAGTTGAGTTGCTTGAATCGTTGCCTGAACACTGAAATTTGGGTAGTTGGAAGATCACTCTCCTACTTTTGTGTGTTCTTTGCCTGAATATTGTCCTGAAAGAACCCATCTCTGAATTATGGATGGCACCCAGCAAGCCACRCTGGCTTTCCCTGCAAGAAAAGTAATGCACAGAGGGGAAAATTGCACAAAAGGAATCTTTCCAAAAGAAGCCAGYGTGGGTTTTTCTGCTCAGTGGGACTGCCCCGGGTGTGGGGTCATTCAGTCAGAATCACGAACCCAGATCCCAATCTGTATCAGTGAAAGGAGTGGATCTAATGAGAATTATCTGGGTGTCCTGTGTTTGGTACCCTGTAGGAAAGGCAGGACCGGTCCCTTCACACCTGATCTGTTCACCCTTTCCATCCTGAGCCTGTTCCCTTGGATTGGCATTAAGGTGACATTTGACCTTTGGGAGCTCTCCTTGTTCCCTCCTGGGTGTAAATAACACCAAACATCCACTTCAGCCGTGGCTGACTCCATTTCACACCTTCCCACTCACCCCTCCTGCATGACACGAGTGGGATGCTCACAGAAAAACACTGCAGGATGTCACTGGGGGCAGAACCAGGACTGGCYGTGTTTTTGAGCCAAATCCACGGAAAAGCTGTGGATCTTTGTATCTTTGTCACCCTCCCTGTGCCTGGTGAGTGCTCATTGGTGTYAAACACAAACCTGATGTTAAACACTTCCGTGCTGCTCCTAAGGACGTGGTTAAGGCTTATCTGAAAGGAACAGCAAATCTCAAAGAGATGTTTGGAAGGAGCAGATTAAAACTTTCAACCTCTACCAATTCTTTTTATTACTCTCAAAAATTCTCATTTTCCCCTGTCTTTATGACCTTATTTATCCCCATTCTCTAACTTGCCGTGTTCTGCCCTTGGTGYAGAAACCTCTACTGCAACTGTGACCCCTTAAAACTTCCATTTTACATTCTCCTCAGCTTCCTCTCCAAAGTGGGGAGTGCTGAGGAGTGACTGAAATATCTCAGGACACAGATCCAGAGCAGAATCCCAGGTCTCTGCTGAGGCCTGATAAATGTGCCTGACTTGAGGGTTCTTCAMATGTTTCCAACATCSCTTGGAGCTGGGGAAGAGACTCCCAAGGAATGCCTGGAAACCACTTTTGATTCAGTAAAACACCAGTTTGTATAGGCAGAGGCTTTGCRGAGTTTATGATCCCAAATGGTGTCACCTCAGGATTTACAGGCTCGGTCCTACTGGTAAAGGTGTTCTGTAAATAGGGACTTACACAATAGTGGCTTACACTTAATAAATAGAAAAATTAGCTTTTAGTCTTCATCCCTTCTGTCCTGGGAAGAGGCAGGAAAGAAATGAGAAATTTATGGCTGGCTCTGTCTGGGAGAGTGGCTTGGCTTGGATGCCTCTGCTGGCAACTTTTGCTTTCAATCTCTACCAATACTACTCTGAAAAATTCTGTTTCCCCTGTCCTTATGATAAATAATCCCCATTCTGTAACTTGCAGTGTTCTGCCCTTGGTGCAGAAACCTCTACTGCAACTGTGACCCCTGAAAACTTCCATTTTACATTATTTTGCTGATTCTTCAAACTGCACTTCCATTCAGAAACACATTTCTCCTTTTTCCCATTTTAATTCTATCATTGCAAAGCTTAGAGAATCCACATTCCTACAGAGCAGCTCTGCATCAATAAACAGCTTTTCCTCTTGTTTTTCSTGCTGTAGCACAAGGGAAGTGATGGAGAGGGAGGAGGCAGGAGAAGAACACAGAGCTGAAGGTTAAAGCTGTAGAAAAATGTTGAGGCTCTCTTAATCCCTAGAAAATTCCCAGAAATTTTAAAAGTCATTTAGATAATGAATCTGACAGGAAAAAAAATAAACCTGGGAGACATTCTACAGGCTGTGTATGGAGAGGACAGGGTGGGTTGGAAAATAGTAACAGGGTATTAAACGGTGACTTGAAAATAAAGGAACGATTGATAAGAAGCACAAAAACTTAACATTGCACTTATTAATGCTGGTCCTAAAAACAGGAGCTGCTTTTTATAGAAACTTTTTTAATGGTGTCTGTAATAAGATAAACAAGAAGCACTTGGGTTGGGCTCTGTATAAATAATCTCCCACTGATAAGAAAAAATGACAGTATAAACAGGAGCTAATAATAGTTCCTGCGGAATTTCCTATCTTRGTGTTTGGAGCTGCTTTTACCATGGCTGCAGTCTGCTCAGGGCTGGGGGTTCAGCCCCACATGGGGTAGGTGAGTTTATCACCAATTTTTTATCAAATAGAATYAGAAATTGTGTGTTGKGATTGGATTAAATTGCCAAGAATTWACCTGGGYACCAAGTGATGGTCAGAAGGCAAAGGGTGGACAGAGAAATGTCAACTTTTCTCAGAGATGCTGTCTGAGCTTCCCACTGTGGAGAAGTGGAGGGTGGGGGAAATGTTTTCAGGTCTTTCTGTTCCACAGTAAAGGAGAGAGGGAGGTGAATGCAGGGATGARCCCTCTGCAGATGGGCTGAAATGGTTTGATGGATGATGCCTCTGCGAGGTTTGGAAATATTACCTTTGCTGCTTTTTACACATAGGGAGTGAAGGAATTGAAAAAAACAAAACCAACTTTATTTTCATGAGGTTACAGAGCGAAACTTGAATTCAGTTTTCTCAATTCTTCATAACCTAAAAACCAAAGAACTGTTTTAACAACAATAAAATGCAGAGGTCATTTTTTTGTTGTTTTTAAACACACATTGAGCTTTCCAGGGGCAGTTCCTGGTAACCTTCCCAATTATTCTGCTTGTACAACCCAGTCCTGTCCTGCAGTCTCTGCATTAATGGATAGGAGATCTCCAGGACTTGGCTTTGGGTTAAGCTAAACACACGTGCAGTGGAGGGCAGCCTTGGAGCACTGCTGCAAGAAATCACATCCCCAAAGGTTTGGAACCCACAACAGGGATGCTGAGAATTGCCAAAACTTAACTAGTTCCACTGGGATGAGAATTCAGAAAATTACTGAATTACTGATCATCTCAAATGGCATCAAACTGGATTTTGAGAAATATTTTCCTTCYTKKTWTTTTTTTCTATACTCATGACAWCACAGAGCAAGATTTGTTTTCCTACGATTTTGATCTTTGCAGGTTTTCTGTAAACAAGCTTTGCTAATCTCCTTAAATTGATAGATGTCCTTTGCAAGCACTTGTTCTCTGAATCTGGGACTTTGCTTACAAAGTGAAGAATTAAAACACCGTCAGTTACTTTCTTCTCCAGGTCTGACGTATTCCAGGTGCTTCTGAAAACCTCTCYTGAAAGAAACATTAAAGAAATGCAAAGCAGGGCTGCTGAACAAAYCTATCTGTGAAGGTGAAAACCAGTTCCTAAAGAAATGATGAACAGCAGAGTTGAGGGTTAGGAGCAGATTTGAGCTGCACTTAGCAGTGGCCTTCTCTTCATGATRTATTTTGCCATTTATTTGATGTATTTGGAAGGAAAACTCTGTCCTCAAATAGATTGTGAGGAGACAGCAGGGCTGGCCAGGGGAGYGAGCACAGCCTCTGTTTTGTTTATCACTGGGTTTGTGACACGAGAAACTGCAATAATCCTTTGTGGATCCTGCTTTGCTTCGGTGTTTTTGTCAGAAAACCAGCACAAGAAAATAACAGAGTAAGGAGTTTGTGGTGAATTATATACTATGTAGAAATAAAATAAAATAAACTACTAGTAAACTAAGTATAGCAGTTTAAAAATGCAGCTTAAAATGAAGTTTAAAATGCAGCGTGCAATAAAGGTACTTGTGAGTTCAGCCAGCAAAAAAAAATAGTACAACTTAGGATTTTGTGTATATTTTAATGTCTATTTTACTAATTTAATTGGCAGTGGGAGCATACATCCAAGTTCTTTTTTTCAGTCTCTGGAGAAGTAACTCCGAAGTGCTCATTCAGACTTTGAGGAGAGGTCTTCACGTGCTTTTAGTGTGTATGTGAGAGGTTTTGGCCATTTAGAAATTTTGTGTATCTTTTATAGAGCAAAACTGAGACTTTTGGTCACTGTTACTATTTTTTTAATTTTTTTTTTCTATAACTACTCTCCATACCAAGTTGTTGATTTCTGGTCAGGTGCTCAGATTCTTGGGTGCCAAGGATAAATCCCTGCTGGGCCCTTCAGTCCAGCCTGGGTAATTTCTTGGATTTGCYATCRGGATTTGAGAGAGGRAGAGGGGRGTACRTCATGCTAAAGGTGTCCAAAACCAGGGGTTGCTTCTTCTGAGCCCTCCTTGAGGTTCCTGCTTCAGCTGGAGAGTGAATTTCTTCAACACAGCTGGATTTTCCCTACTCCACAGAACTTATTTCATTAATCTACTTCTGGCAGCAGGATGATTTCTTTTTTCCTGCCAGTGCAATTAGGAGGGTCCTGGTGGTTGCTGTCCTGTGAATTGGCTGTGTGGAACCCACTTGAGATACAAAAACTCCGATATGACAATTTGGGGAGTTGGTTTTTTGTTTTTGAAAGGAGTTAAGGGTGAGTTTGGATCCYGCTGCACTGGGATCTGGGAGGTCCTGGATCAATTTTGCTGAAAAACTTTGCATTTTTCTGAAAAACTTGACCTTGGGTTGGTCGAGCTGCTGCAATATATTTTTGAAGCCTCTAAACCATGCTGAGTTATAGATAAAATTTGTGCCTTAAAAACTTAAATTTATGCCTTAAAATTCTGCAGAAGCAGCTTTAGGATCAGTGAGTCACAGGACTGGCTACTGGGGCTGAAAGGCAGCCACAAAAGGATCCTGAGAACTTTGGAAGAGCTTTGGTGCAGTTCAGGACATTGTGACAGTGCAGATTGTGGAAAGAAGATTTTTTTTTTTTTTTTGGAGATGGTGAAACACTGGCACAGGCTGGTCAGGAAGGTGAAACACTGGCACAGGCTGGTCAGGAAGGTGGTCACAACCTTTCAGCTGATCAAGAATGGATCAGGGAGATAGGAAATGGGCAGAGCTATGACCAAAAGCTGAAAGGGCCTTCCCAGACCAGGTTTAGCTGTCACACAAAGTTCTCTGTGAGTGGAGATTCACCAATTTTTTTATCATGGGAAAAGCTACGCAAATGATTTGTATATTCCAATTTTTCTATGCTTTTCTATGAACACCTTGGAAAACAGGTGTTTTTTCACATAACTGTCAAGAACTCTGTGAAGAATGMAATCTAAATGTGAGGAAACCTCAAGTGTTTGTTGCTGCCTCAAGTCCAGTCAATTATTCCACCTTTTTCTGGGTTTTCCAGAATTGTTCTTCCTCAGCACGGAACCCTGAGCCCCATCCCTTCCACTTGTGGCRGACATTTAATCTGTTTTAATTTTTTGAAAGAAAGGTTTGGATCCCACTGCACTGGGATCTGGGAAATACTGGATCAGTTTTCCTGAAAATCTTTTCATGTGACTTTGGGTTGGCCAAGATTTTCCAMTTGTGGCAGACATTTAATCTCAGTTTTTAATTTTTTTTAAGGATAGGTTTGTCCCACTGTGTTGGGATCTGTAAATCCTGGATTAGTTTTCCTGAAAAACTTTCCATGCCAAGATTTTCCGCTTGTGGCAGACATTTAATCTCTGTTTTTAATTTTTATCTACCAGCGCTTTGTGTTTATATCTCAGGTTTTTATCCAGACACTCAGCACACACTAATTCCCTGCAATAAGTGGAAGTGGACCGTAGTAAACAAGTAAATGAGTGGAGCTGTTACCCAGTGATTAATTAATGGGAGCCGGGCAGCCAGAAGCAGTGAGACACAAACCTTTGTGTCCTGCAGCACAGGACWAGAAATGGCTTTTGTAAATCATAATAATGGGTCAAGAGCTGCAAATTTTCAAAACTTGGTCCTTYCACTGGTGATCAGGCATGCAGATGGCAGGATTTCAGCTAGACTGGAGCCTTGTTTTGGGCCAGAGGATGTTATCAGCTTACGCTGCCTTCTTTTGGTATTAACTTGTGTGCTTCCACAGTTACTGGATGTAAACTTGGCATGGTCTGAGGGCYGTGTTTGCTCGAATAATTGCACTTCCCCACTAGTATAAACTCAGTTTTAGATCCCACTGTGGGCCCTGGGGGTAGGCAGCTCTTGGCTGTCCCAGCTGTTCCTGAACTCTCCCAGCTGAAATCTCTGGGAATGGGGTTTAGAAAAACCAGAATCTGTTTTGTGAGCACTGCTCCGTTGAACAAAACACACCCATTGCTTTCCCCCAGGACAATTCAAACTTCACAGCTTCCAGAATTCTGTTTGAGGAAGGACAATTAACAGTACAAACCCTATGATTTTAAAAATATGGTCGTAGTAAACCCACCTGAGAGTCAAGCTGAGACATTCTGCAGTTAACTGCCTTCAACACTGAAAAAAAACCACCATAAACCCCCATATAAGAAGTGGTAAAACTACAAGGTTTTTTTTTTTTTTTGAGTTAAATATGATTATGAGAGCTTGTAAAGGCTTGATGCATCTCTGGAGGGGGAGAGTTTGGTTTCTGTGTGCTCACCAACCTCTACCTGCCCGGCTGCTGTCACCGAGCAGGTGGTGGCACAGGTGGTGTTGGCGGWATATTGGTACTTGGAGCACCTCCTAAAACTTCACTTCTCGGGAGAGTTTGGATGTTGTTAACCTGTTCTGATGGCTGCAGGGCTCGTGGAAGGCACAGGGAGTTCTGAAGTACCTCTTCAGGTACTCAGCAAACTCTGCATTTTTTATGTTTTCAGATGAACCTATTGCTCACCCCTTTGTGTGCTTCTAAACCTTTTGTTTTACTCAATTCCTCTCCTGATCGGTTTTTCCCCTCCCTGCATTGATCCTTCATTCACAGTCACACTTTGGAAATAACTCTATTAATTCTAGAAGTTTTTTCCCCTTTTTTGCTGTTTTCTTACAAGTCTTGCTTTTAAAACTGGAGCATTTTGTCCCTGATCATGCCTGGGTGCCTCGAGCTTGGCTCCCGCTTTGCTGACAGGCAGCTGCCTTTTCTGGTTTGTTTTGTGGCCGTTGTTACAGCTGCTGACAGTTGGTTTACTCCATTTCTGGGCTGATTTGATCCCTATCACATTAACTGTTTTCTGTGTTTATCTCCCTTCTTATTCAAGCATTRGATGATAAGGATTTCCTAACAACCATTATTTATATACAATAGTGGGGAAGGGACTTGTTCCCRTTTCACAGATGAAGAAGTTCAGGAATCATGGAAGTTGTGGACAATTCAAGTCAGTGATAACTTGGGCTCCCCAGTTTTTATCCTCTTTGCTTTGGGCTGATCATGCAAATTCCAGGGTGTGCTTTGAGTAAGGCTGAGCATAACCCCAGGAGAAATTCAGGCAGTTTGGGATGGAGCTTCACCCTGCTTTTTCTGGGATTGAAGCATCACAATTCCTGGGTTTTGTAACTCCTTTTATCAGCATATAAACCACTTTAAAATGCCTGGTAAAGAAGAACTTTTCTCTTTCTCTGTTCTTTTTTTTTTGTTCTGTTCTGGTTTTTCACAGGTATCAGTCAGAGCCGGATCTCCCATTGGCTGTTGCAGCAGGGATCGGACCTGAGTGAACAAAAGAAAAGGGCATTTTACAGATGGTACCAGCTTGAGAAGACAAATCCTGGTAAACAAATGCAGCCTAAACCTCTCCTGCTGTTTATTTATGGCATAAAAGCCTTTTGTCAYTGTTGTTTATTAGCACTGATAATTCAGTTCTGGGTTTGGGCTTCTATGAAGGTTCTCCCTCTCACCAGGTTGATTTTTAGGAGGGTAGGAACAAATCACCAGGTTAATTTTTAGGAGGGTAGGAATAAATCACCAGGCTGATTTTTAGGAGGATAGGAACAAATCAGTACTTTTTAGGACAGTAGGAACATATCACCAGGTTAATTTTTAGGGGGTAGGAGCAAATCACCAGGTTAATTTTTAGGAGGATCAGAACAAATCACCAGGTTGATTTTTAGGAAGATAGGAATAAATCAGTAATTTTTAGGAGGTAGGAGCAAATCACCAGGTTAGTTTTTAGGAGGTAGGAACAAATCACCAGGTTAATTTTTAGGGCATTAGGAACAAATCACCAGGTTAGTTTTTAGGAGGTCAGAACAAATCACCAGGTTAATTTTTAGGGCATTAGGAATAAATCACCATGTTAATTTTTCGGAGGTCAGAACAAATCACCAGGTTAATTTTTAGGAGGGTAGGAACAAATCTGCTTTTTGTTTTGCAGCAAATGGTGCAGAGCTGCCTCATCCAGATCTGTCTGTCCAGCTCCTCGGGCACTGATCCCTGGGATCCCTCACTCACCCCTCACTCAAATCTGGGAATCAGAAGCAGCCAGTGAAGCTGCAGTCAGTTAACCTGAAATATCAGCTGAGGCTCTCCAGAAAGAACAARCAGAAACCATTAATAATGGCTGTATAATATGAAATTGAAGCAAAAAACCCACACAGTTCAGCAGAGAGGATCTTCAGAGTGTTTTGGGTTGGATCTCGTGGATGGGATGTTGATACTGACAGTGATAAGCTGGAGATGTGGCTTTCAAATCCCACCTGCTTCTCCAAATCTCAAAATAGATCTTGAATACAAAAAGAGAAGTAAAGCTCCTCATTATCTTTAACTAACCAGCAATCTTCAAAATCACAGTTGAATTAATTTCTTCGCATTGTTCTTCTCCATAGATTTTGTTTGACCACAGTTTCTATTTTTCCCTTTTAACAGTTTCATTGTAAAGATCAAAATATTTATGTTTAATTTCCTTTAAACAATRGCTTGATTAAATTAACTGTATAATTGTTTTAAGGAATTTAAAACTCAGGCTCTCTAATGTGTACTTGGCTTCAATATCCAGAATTTGATTAAGAAAAATTCCAGTGGAAACAGAGCCTCAAAACTTGCTCTTTGTGTATAAGCTGAAAATCAAGAGGYTCCAGCTGACAGTTGGCCTGAGAATAATTCAGATTTAAGATGKGTGGGTTCAGAGGGATGGCTGAGCCTGTTTTTTCCTGTTAATCATCTTAAGATGTCGATTCTTCTTTTTCTTCAAGTCGTYTTAAAGAATAAAAGTGCCAAGGAGCCTTGATTCTTGCACTGGCTGGAATTGTGGTGCTGAGGATCAGCMGAGTTCCTGGGTACAACCACCCAGTGTCATCTTGGGAAGGCTCAGGTTTTACCCTACAGAGTAACCCTCAGGCATTTCCCTTTGATGGAAAATGTTGCCTGCAAAGTAATGGAGAAAACTCAAAAGTTTTTGGAAGGTGTAAAACCCACCCAAACCCTCTCCACATGAAACCTGTTGTGTGGATCTTTCCCAGCTCTGTGTCCTCTTTCCAGCATCACATGGAGCTGTGTAGAAAACAGTGTTTTATGCTATTAAAAGAAGCCTGGTTGAGCTTAGCACTAAAATATTTTAATTCTTCCTCTTTACCTTCTTTTTTCCCCATATCCACCAGCTCACATCTCATTTTTCCTTTAGTGTCTGAGGAAGGAAGATTTTCCACACCAAAAATTATGGCTGAAATTGAAATGAATCTACGTTAACTCTGCTTTGCTTTAGGCTTGGAAAAACTCCTTGAAGAGTGGTTGTTTGAGTGTAACCTTCTTCCCAGTAAGAGATCTTAAACAGCATTTTCAAGGAGTGTAAAAGGCAAATTGTTTCCTCTCCCTAAGCCAAGGGACTATTTGGATGCACTTAAATTCCTTTTAGAACCAAATAGTGTTGGGTTTCTTTTTACAGGCTGAGGTAGAGGGAGGAACCTGAAAAAAAAAACCCAGGAAAATCTACCTGAGGAAAATGGGGTTGTATTTATTTATTCATTGGAGGATAATCCATTGCTTTGAATTMTTGCCATCTACTATATTGCAGGTCAGGCCAGGTAGCCAAGAATAATTAACGTGGGTAGGAGCAAATGTGCAAAGGGAGGTACCAGCCTTGTCCAGAGAATCCTGGATTTAAATCCCTGTTACAAAACCAGTCTGGAGATGAAGTTTGGGTGCTGCTTAGAGTATCCTGTGATTAGCAGGCAGAGTAGCTGYTCTGCTCTCCTTCTTAGAGGCAGAAAATGAGGAAATCAGTGGAGMTCCCTGCCATGTGCCCTAAAAAGTGATGCCATCACTGTAGGGTGTAAAGATTGTCCTTCTTGGAAGAAATCGAGAGCTGAAATGACTGCAGTGTGTTTTTTCCAGCTGCTCACTTACAGAGAGRTGGCATTTGGCTTCCTGTTCTCAGAAATCCCATCTTGTTGGATTCCAGGTGCTGGGAAGGAAATCTSAATCCTTGGAGTGACAGGGTCAGGTCTCTGTGAAGGAGCACCTGCAGGTGCAAAGTGAGGCCTTTGGAACTATCAATTCCCCAATTTCTACAATTTTTTATCTTGAAAAACTCCATCTTCGGAGTAAACCAAATTTTTGGTGAATTTTTGTAGTTAGGTAAAGAAAACTTAAAATTGGAACAGTTTTGAAGGACGGAGAGAGCAGATATGATCAGTTTCTAAACTGTGAAGGGGGAATAGTTTGTGTGGAAAAAACTGGGGATCTCTGGCAGATCTGCAGTTTTCTCTCGGCCTGCCCTTTTATCTGTACAATTTACAAAATTCACCTTTTCTCTCCCTTTTCCATCTGCTGGATCCAGGTGAGACCCTTTCCTGTGGGTGACATCCCTGCCTTGCCTTCACAGCAGGGCCTGTCTTTCGCTCTGCTTCTAACAGCAAATGCTGAATTACAAATATATCAACAGAGATTTATTTAAATTTTTTTTTTTCTCAAATACATAGTGTAGCTGTATAATGCTTTAAGTCATCCACAAGCAGTCCTGCATCTGCCAACCACGGAACTTAGTATTGGGAGCTTTAGGGCAATTTTAGGGCATTGCTGCTGTTCAAATGCTGGTTCTGAATCAGCAGTTCCATCACTTCCATTCTTTCCCAGCTGGCTTTGAGCTCTTGGATGTGCTGTTAGTTATTTTTTGGGTTCAATTGCTGGTTTCCTGGGCATTTTTTGCATTTCTCCTGCCCTCGCTGGTGGGTGTTCAGACAGCACCAGGCTGGAAGGTTGCAAAAGAGACTTGAATTCTTATGGARCAGGAAATAAACAGCCACTTGTCCTGCTGCATGCAATAATCTTGCTCAAAAAAAATGTCTTCATCAACATTTTCATGGCAGGAGTGATGTCAGAGTTAATGGCAATGCTGTGAATTCCAACTACTGATCGTAAATTTTTCTGGAAGGAGTTGCCAGTTAGGGTGAAAGGCAGTTTTTTTGTTGGAAGGAAGAAGTCAATGCTAAATGCTGGTGTTTAAAAAGTCTTTAATCCAATTAATAGGGATGCCTTTCATTTAGATGGAGCTTTTTCCACACAGGCTCATTTTCCTGTGTTTTGTGGAGCACTTGAGAGCATTTTGGCAACAGAGAAATCCTGTAATGTTCTGATTTTTTTGTTCAGAGCCCACAGGTTTTAGATAAATAAATATTTCATTTTCATATTTATTTTTAAATTGGTAGCTRTTGGCCTGATTAGTTTCCCTGTCACTGGGTTTTGGGTGATGTGGGAAGTTTGTTATGGAGTAACTTCAGCTCTGAAGTTGGCACCCAGAAATGATTTGTTAAAGTTACAGTTGGACACAGTCTGCTTCCATTTAGGCTGAGTATTTATTTCTGCCAGTCCTCTCTAATGGGAAGGCAGCTGTGGTCACCTTGGAGAGAGCCATGGGCTCTTCCTCCTTGAACAAAAGGGAGAATGAAAGGGAGTTATTATCGAGATGGAGCAGCTCTTTTGTTATTCCTGCAGTGTTTCTTGTTTAGCTGTGAAAGAAAAGCCAACCAGGAATCAGGGGCTGGCTCAAACCATGAGGTTTGCCCTGGGAAGGGATTTTTGGGGATGTGCTGTTCCCCAGAGCTGCAGAGCAARCTGTCCCCGCTCTGCTTCTTCTGATCATCTCCCTGAGCTCTGGAGGGAACCTCCTGCTGCTGCTGCTGMTGMTGATTTCAGTGCAGCCCGGCTCACCCTGACCCAGAGGTGTTCATGGTGTGATCTGGGAGCAGCCTGGCTCAAAATGCAGTGAGACAGCTGTTCTTACCAGGATCGTGGGCTGCAGGTACTTGCTGCACAGAAAAACTTGCCAGGAAATTATTCCTTGGAGCTGGGAGAGCTCTGAGGCTTTCTGTAACCATTCCTGTCTCAACCCTGGGATGAGGAGCAGCAAATGCTCTCAGAGCATCTCTAAGGATTTTAGAAGTTAACTTCTGAGTTCTAAAGAAATGGAGCTGGGTTGTGAGAAAATGGGGATGGAGCGYTGGAACAGAATAAACGGGACAGGTGCTCTGTGGAGAGAGGGGGAGGAGGAAAAGCTCCACAATTTCCTTATCAAATGTGCTTATCATAAATGATAAATTTGGGTTCGAAATCATCCCATCCCACCCCCTGCCATGGGCAGGGACACTTTGCACTATCCCAGGGTGCTCCCTTCCTTCAGGATGGGGTCTGGGATTGCAGTCCCTGGCCAGGAGGGATTTTGGGCGTGAAGAGAGCTGCATTCCAGCTGGAGAGCACCACTCCTTCCTCCTCCTCCCCAAACCCTCCCTCAGCATCCTCAGTCACACAAAAAATTCTCAGTGAAGCCCCAGAGCTGTAGGAAAAGGTGCTGAGTGCTGGCAGGGAGTGGGAAATGTCTCTTTTCATTTGTGTCTGTGAAAGGMGCTCTTCCCAGGCGGTTCACCTCTGCACCCCTCCGAGGTGTCTCGCCGTTTGATGCGCGCGCTGAAAAACCTCGCGCTGCGCTTTCTCCGYTCCKTCTGCTCRGGAGAGAAGTTCCACTGCTCCTTAAAAGSTGWTTGAGGGCTTTATAAAAAGAATCTGAACTGGTGGCTAAGATGGAGCTTGCTGAGTTCTAAAGGAGTGGAGCTGGGTGGTGAGAAGATGGGGATGGAGAGTTGGAACGGCAGAATAAACGGGATCCCTGGGTGCTCACTGGAGAGAGGAGGAAGAGGAAGAGCTCCATTTGATTTCCTTATCAAATGTGCTTATCATAAATAATAAATTTGGGTTCAAAATCATCCTATCCCACCTCTGCCAAGGGCAGGGACACTACCCATTATCCCAGGGTGCTCCCAGCCCTTTCCAGCCTGGCCTTGGGCACTTCCAGGGATCCAGGGGCAGCCACAGCTTCTCTGGGAATTCCAGCCCAGCCCCTCACCACCCTCCCAAGGAACAATCCCTTCCCAATATCCCATCCATCCCTGCCCTCTGTCAGCTTGAAGCCACTCCCTGTCAGTTTGAAGCCACTCCCTGTGTCCTGTTCCTCCATCCCTTGTCCCCAGTCCCTCTCCAGCTCTCCTGGAGCCCCTTTAGGCACAGGAAGGGCCCTTAGAACATCCCATATCCCCTTTTTCCCACACATTCATCCAAGCCCATGTTGGGCCTCTTTATGCATTCAGCTCCTCCTCTCCTGCTGAGAGGGGGGCACTTGCTTGGAATTCTCTGCATATTCCTCTCTTATCTGCTGCTGATATTGATGTTACCCCATAGAAAAGAGAAATGGCTAAATTGATCTAGGAAGGCTACTAAAACAAAAAATAAACCTGTATTATATTCAGTATGTGAACATACCTGTGGCAGCAGCAGAAAATTTATGCTTTCAATGCAGATTTTTTTTTTTCAACCTTTGTCTGAAAAATCTCGGGCACGTTTAATGGAAGGACTCTGCATCTCTTACCTTGATCTGAGGCATCACTGATACTCCTGTAAAATAAAATAAAGCATGTTGCAAAGAGAATGCAGGGAAGGTGAATTCTTTTCCTGTTCTTTCCTGTCTCTTTTTAAAATTTTAGGGTTTTTTTAAGTTTTGGAAGTGTATTTAAAACCTGGCACCTCCATAGCCACCCAGCCCCCTAAACTGTGCAGGGAGCAGAGASACTCGATAAGGAGCTTTCCTTGAAACGGCCTCGCAGTAAATTGGCACTATAGGAAATATTTCATGTTTCAATGGAAACGAGTAATCTGTGGAGGCTCCTTAGCTGGGAATTAGGAAGAGGCACCGTGCCTCGTGTGTGCGAGGCAGAGATTGTGGGCTTCACTTCCTACTGACTCCTCCTGGGGAACGGCTGGAAATTATTTTGGGCTCCACCACCTAACACAGATGCAGGARGGAAAAGGCTCCGTGTGCATTTCTGGAAAGGAACGTGGCCAAGTGCCTAAATAGCTGATTTCTTGCTTTTTAGCTGGAGGATTTTGTTTGTTGGTTAAACTCTTGGGTTCCCCTGACCCTTTTCTTAGAGGAGCAGTGTTGTTTCACTAACACTGTGTGTTTTGATGATTAAATGCCAATTATTCTGAGTGAGCCTGAGCACCCAGAGGGGTTTGCTGAGTGTGYCCAGCAGTGTGAGCAGGGCTGCTGCTTCTCCTGGGTCTGTGCAGGAATTCCAGTGGAGCTCAGGGTGCTTGTGAGATACAAGTAGTGATTTATCCTTTTTTCTTTTTTTTTTTTTCTTTTGCACACAAGAACAGCTTTTTCATCCTTGGGGGGAAAGTCACTGAGCACAAAGGTGTCCTTCAGAACATACTCTGTGTCCTTGTGTCCTATCCCAGGTTCCATCCTCACCAAGGGATGGAGGAAAGATCGATCTCCCAGAGTGTCTTGATTTATCTTGATTTATGAACTGAGAGGCTGTTGTGGAAAGGATCAGGGGTAACTTTCAAAGGGGCCTTTCCTGAAGGCATTTTGCCAAATCCTGTCTCGTGCCTGACACTCTCCAGCTCAGACTCATGGAAAGGAGAGTTATACCCACAGAAGGGGAGCAGGAGAGGATTTAATCTGCTCTCAGTGACTTTTTCAGGCAGCCTGGCACTGGTGAGCCCATGTTTGCACAGGGGGTGTTCCTRTTGCTGGAGCTGCTTCAGGTATTTCCTCAGCTCTTCAGACACACTGAAACACCTTTGGTATAAATTCCCATTTTGCTTTCTGACACTGCTGCATCATTGAATACAAACTGCTGTTTCCCATTTAGTGACAGCTGAGGTGGCAGCACAACCCAAATAWATCCCAGCTGGGGCACAGCTCACCCTTTCTGTGTGATCCTTTTCCTCTTGACCAAGACAGGACAGATTTTCCAAAGTGCCCATCATCTCCTTAGTTTTCTGTGGCCATCCCCTTCCCCCTTGGAGCTTGGGAGCAGGAATTCCAGCTGGCTTTGTGCTTCTTTGAGGTATCTTTGAAAACACTTTATTTTTTTTTTTAGTTTGAACAGTTCCATCACCTGTCTTGTCTTTTTTTTGCGAGCAGGAGTGAGAGGATGGGCCTGACTTTTAAAAGAAAGGGAAAAAAAAAGTGTTTGTTCTCCTTAGGGGCCACGCTAAGCATGAGACCCGCTCCCATCCCCATCGAAGAGCCCGAATGGAGACAGACGCCTCCCCCAGTCACAGCTACCTCGGGGACCTTCAGACTACGGCGAGGCAGTCGCTTCACGTGGAGAAAGGAGTGCCTGGCTGTCATGGAGAGGTACGTGGTGGCTTTTTGGGGGGTTTTGGAGATGTGGTTTTGAAGCCAAGAGGAGGCTCTTTTTTTCTGCTTTGGTTGTTTTCATGGATGTGCTGTAGCCTCGTTCAAATCTGTGATGATTTGGTTCTTGATGATGGAGGAGGGTCCAGACTCTCCTGTTTTGCTCTTGTGTTGTTTAAAAGGTTGTAACACTGCTCTGGACAATATCTGTTAATTTTGTATCCCCCAGGACATGATGTCCTTAGCTCAGTCTGAGAGCGTTGGTGTTCAGCTCTTCCTTTGTTTTTGCAGAAACTTTTCCACTTACGCAGATCCAGGCTCTCCTGGGGTCCTGCAAGCTCTTCACATTCTGCATTTCTCCTTCCCCACTTCTCTGACTTGTCCCCTGGTGCTTTTTTATAGTRGATACCAACATTAAAACCAGGACTCTTCAGGATGCAGAACTTTGCCTAACAAGCAGCAGATTCCTKGTCCAAAAAGGCTCTTAGAACCCTTTTACAAGAGCTGGGAGCAGCCCAGAGCAAAGTGGATCTTTCAAATCCATCTACAGAGTGGCAGGTGATGGTTAGAGCTCCCAGCTCTGCTCTCTGAGTGTGCTCTGCCTTYCCCTCTGCTTACAGGAACCTTTTTTTGTGGATAATGTTCAGTAAAAAGACACTGGTGAACTTGGGTGTAGTTTAGGGATGAATGTTGTTTTCTGTCCAGGGCTGAATGGCTGGGAGGAGTTTTTTTCCCCTCTGAGAGCATGAGGAGCCTCCTTTCCATGGCAGGAATGTGAGTGCTGTGCTCCCCCCTGGTCTGCAGCCTCAGCCAGCAGATTTGTACGATGTGCTTTTACCATTTTATTAATGCTTCCATTTCCTCTGGCTTGCACAGGGGTTTGGGGATCTGATTAGGAGCAGGAGAGCATCTTTAGGCTGAGCTGAGACTAAAATCCTGATCTCCCTCAGGAACTCGAGCTGGACACACTTTGGTGTCTTTGCAGCACTGGAACCAGTAACTTCAGTGTTTGTTTCCCTGTTCTGGCCTGGCACTGCACTGATGTTTTTGGCTTTGAGTGGATGTTTCCTCAGAGGAAATCATGTAAATGTTTGAAATCTGCTTTGTTAGACCCTACTAATGCAGAGTGCTGTGATCTGATAGTGTAGGGACCTGTGGTTTTCTGCTGTCCAAGGGGCAGGACAGGATCTTGAGCACTTAGAAATGTCCTGGTGGCAGGTACAGGACAGAACCACCACCATCTCCTGATCAACCCTCTGTGTGTGAAATGCTTATTTGGAGTGGAATTGGAGCTCTTGGGGCATGGCTGCTGTTCTTGGTTTCTGCTGCCCCAAGTGCAGTAACTGCTGTCATTTGCTGTTTGAACCCTGATTGTGCCTCAGAACGAGCCACCCTTTCCTCACCCACCTCTCCCCTCAAGCCATTCTCTGCTGGGACACCTAAAAGTTGCAAAACCTGTGGTGTTTTGGTGGATCTGTTAGAAATCTGTGAGATTTGGGTTTGGATGTTGAAAGAAGCAAGTTGGTGTTGACACTGGACACCACCCMGTTGTGAATGTAGATCCATAATCACTCGATCTAATTTTTTATTAAATTCTTCTTCTTTGTTATCTTTGGATTTGTTCTCTGTGTCCTGTGCTCTGGAAGGTCTTTGCTGCTGGGATTTTCTCTTTATTCTGYCACATTGCCTTAATCCTGGCTTAAATATTAATTTGCCAAACCCTTGGYTAGGTCAGTGTGAGTGCTGGGTTTCACAGCTTCATGTGGGATTCTGGAAAGCAAATCTGAGGGGTTTTACTCGAGGTGAGAACACACTAAAAGTGTTGTGTGACAATAAAACCACCCCATAAAGCCAGCTGGGAATATGGCTGTTTAACTGTTGGGCTTTAATAGGCCTGGTTGAGCTGTAAGGATGAGCTGTTTTATGGGACAAGTTTTGAAAGAGTGGCAGGAAAAYGCTCTTCTGGGAGCCCTTGGAATAAAATCCCGAATTTCACTTACAAGTCCCTGGAGTTTTTTAGGCTTGTCTGTGATTTGACTCGTAACAGCAGCAGGGTGAAGGGAACCAGACCCCTCTGGCCTGAGCAGATGAGGTTCCCTGGATGCCCCAGGGTCAGGAATAAGCATTTGGCCACAAAAATGGTGTTTGGTATTGCCTGTGGGTGGGTACTGTTTGCCTGGTGATTTGCATTTCCTGTCCAGGATGAAATTTGGGCTCTGAGTAGAGGATCTCAGTTTCCTGGGCTGTTTTCCCTGATGAAATTCAACTTTCAGGGCATTGTGTTTGTGTRTCCTGCAGCTGCTGGCTCCCACATTGGTGCACACAAGGGTTTAAGGCACTTGGCTTTGAGCTGCTGCTCTGGAAACCTCGGTGAAATTCTCATTCTTTTAGGCTGAGACCTCTCCAGACCTCTCCACTGTGCCAGAGATGTTTCTTGTCTGATGGAAATAGCAGCCAATTCTGACTGGCTCAGGAAAAATAAATCCTTTTTATTGCAGAAGGTAATTCTACCCACTGATGCAGTCAGAGGAGGGCTCTGTGCACCTTCCTCTCTGGCTGCCTCCTGCACTTAGAACTAACTCTGGTGGTTTAATTTAAAGCTTGAAGATCAGAGGGTGGAACCCAGACCGTAGTGGAACCTCTGAAAAACTCCTCTTTATTTTTAAAATGCTGCTGTGGTGCTGCATAAACATTTTTTGTGTGAGGATGAGGTTGTTGACCTGCTCTGTTCCTTAATTGTGCCCCCTGCTTTTGCTTTTGTCTTGGATTCAGTTGGTAAAAATTGGAGTTGCTAAAAGTCCGTGTGTCAAACCAGCTGAGAGCACTTCAGGGGAAGAATCTGAATGTGACTGCAAAAATCAGAGGGATTTGCATCTTAGGGGCAGGCTCTACATTGCAGATGCACAGCACCAGTCAGGATTTGCTCTAAGAACTAAACGAGAAGGGTGAGAGTTGAAGGGGTAGTTTAGATTTAAATCAACAAAAATCAACTAAATAATGCAATTAATTATTATTATTATTATTAATTATTATGGTGCCAACCTGAAAGAATGAAGATTAGACTTAGGGCCACATCCTGAAATGTACCTAAGGGTCTGAACACAGGGTATGTGTATTAAAGGAACTAATTGGTTTGTACTGGATTTCCAGGATGCTGCTTGTGGTTTCTGTAATTCAATTCTCCAGCCTTTACTGCTTTTTTGGAATCCTCCCAGGGTAGTTTATTAAGCCCCGGTCTTAGATTTTTTGGACAATAGATTCAGATCTCTTCATCCCTTCATTTTTTTTTATTTTTTTTTTTAGATATGTCTCTGAATATTTATGCTCTGAAGGTTAAGAGGAGCAATAGTTCCAGAAAGTAAAGTTCTATATTTAACTGCAGACTAGGTGTGGTTCAGACAACTGCAGTGCTACTGATGCCAACCTTGACCTGTTCTCTTCTGGAGCCTCCTGCTCGTGGAATCTGCTGAGTTTTGAGTGTGTCTCGATGTTGTTGTGTGGCTTTGCCCTCCTTGGGGAGCAGAGCTGAGACTGCAAGAGTCCTTTCTGTGCAAAGCTGAGGTTAAACTTGAAAGCCTCTCTCTGCTTCACTTTCRTGTTCTTTTTTTTTTGTTACGTCTTGTCCCACTGATAACGTTGTTGTTGTTTTGTTTTTTTTTTCTTTTCTCTGCTTTACTTCTTCTTTTCAACCCCTCTCATTAGAGGTATGAAATTGAAATTTCCCTTAGGGCTTTCTCTTTTTTTTTAATGAAGCTCTGTTGTCTTGTCAGTCTATTTTTTTATTATTATTTTTTCCCCCAGTGATTTATACTTCTCCTCTAATCATATGTTGAAGTTGAGGTTTGTCTTCTTTTTCAGGCAAAAAAAAATCAAAGATTGGCAGCAGAATCAGTGACTTTTTACCATTTTAAGGCACTTTTCATGAGTGCCGTTAAAGACTGAGGGGGAGAGYTGAGTGTTGTTTTTTAAGTACATGCTTTATCCAAAGATTACATTAAAATAACTGTAAATTCTGCCCTAAACAAAAATGAATAATTCATCAGTTGAATGTATCTCAATTTGTCTGGAGAGCAGGGGCTTTGCTTTCTGGTTGAGGGTTATTTGGTTTGATTTTACGGCTCTGTTTTTTTACTTTAACACTTGTCTGTGYCTCCTAAGCCCCTTTCACATTTTTTAGATTAAATAAGACTGAGATGCTACAGATCCTCATCATCCCCATTTCAGAGGTGGCAAAGCAGAGTCAGGTGTTTYACTTGGCTTTATTCAGGAGAGAAATGGGTTTAGATTTCCCAAGATAGGGGGGTTTAGTTTCTTGCTGTAGCTGAGCTGAATTAACAGTTTGTCACCGTCTCATCCTGAGGTGTTACCCTGCCTTGCCACCCTTCTCAATTCCTCCTCCTCAGTTTCCCTGCTCCTGCCACCCTGTGCTGTGCCAGAGATGTTTCTTGTCTGATGGAAATAGCAGCCAATTCCRCCTGCTTCAGGAAAAATAAATCCTTTTTATTTCCCCCTGCGTTTTCCTGAATTGTTTCAGCTTTCTGAGCACTGAGGTTGTGCCAGGACGGTCCTGGGGCAAAGGATGGGAGCACTGGGAGGGGGAAGTGTGACAAAAAAGTGGTGATTCCATGGGGTTTTTTGTGATCTGCTTGGTTTTGTTCAGGTTTGGTTGGTTTGGTTTGCTTTGGTTCAGGTTTGGTTTGATTTGAGCTGGGTGAGTTCCTGGTTTTGTTAAAAGTGGGGTACTGACAGTTGTGCTGGCATTGTGGATGAGGGATCCTTTGATTTTTCCAAAGAATAATGCTTAAAGTAGTCCGTGAGGATTGGAGGGGTGGAGCACCTCTCCTGTAAGGAAAGGCTGAGAGAACTGAGAATATTCACCTTTGGAAGGATCCAGAGAAATCTTAGAGCTGCTGCCAGTGCCTGAAGGGGCTCCAGGAGAGCTGSAGAGGGACTGGGGACAAGGGATGGAGGGACAGGACACAGGGAATGGCTTCAAACTG